AGAGAGAGAGAGAGAGAGAGAGAGAGAGAGAGAGAGAGAGAGAGAGAGAGAGAGAGAGAGAGAGAGAGAGAGAGAGAGAGATTGAGTGTGTGTGAGAGAGAGATTGAGTGTGTGTGAGAGAGAGAGAGAGAGAAAGAGAGAGAGATAGAGAGAGAGAGATAGAGATAGAGAGAGAGAGAGAGAGAGAGAGAGAGATTGAGTGTGTGAGAGAGAGATAGAGAAAGTGTCTTCCAGTCTACTGGTTGTTTACTCTATCACTCTCCTTCACACTCTCACTCCCATTCACTCCCTCTTTCTCTCTCCCCTTCAAACGCTCTTAACTATTCACCTATCAATCTATCGATTTACTCTCTTTGCTTTTTCTCTATGTGACTATCTCTCCCTCTACCTTTATGATCCTCTCTATCCTCTTAACAATTTATTCGTCCTTTCTCTTTTTCTTTGTTCCTTCTATCTCCCTCTCTCTCTTTCTTTCTCTCACTCTCTGCCTGTCCCACCCTCTCTCTGTCCCTCTCTCTCTTTCTATCTATTTCTATATCTATCTCTCCCTCACACGCTCTTAACTATCCACCTCTCAATCTATCTACTTACCATTCTCTCTCTCTCTTTCTCTATCTACTTACGTTATAGTTGTATACATTTTTAGATATTTTTTATGGACACAAGAAAAGTGCACAATTGTTTGGGAAAAAGCTCCTCTGATTTGAGAAAGACGCAACTAGCGACTTTTGGTTTGCACTATCGCAAAAAGATTTATCTCCGTATGAAATTATCGAGCTAAAAGTTTTTTTAAACGAATTCACTAAAAACATTTAACATTCGAACATGTCGTGATTTTAAAGATTTTATATTAGATAGACGTAGTGAAAATAATTGTTATCAAACAGCTTTGGTTGATTTTAACGTCTTGGTTTTATTTAGACCGTAGAGTTGATTGGTATCTTTAGATGATAAAATATGACTCTTCAAAAACTTTGGAAATGTATTCATTCATTAATAACACACTTTACTTAACTAGTTTTCAACAATGAGCAATTTTTACAAGGTGATTTAGACGATGAACAATGAGACGTTTTATTATTGCATTTGTTATTTATATCAATATTTTATTATTTCTAAAAACTCAGCCATCATGTCTAAAACGCAAATTTACGTAAAAATGGCAAAACGTAACCTTTTATAAAACTATAGTGTTAGCTGCATCGTGCTATTGTTGAAATTGATTATGAACACCCAAAGGTGCTCAATTACTACAGACAGTCATAAAGAAAAATGGAAACAGACAAAAGGTGGAGGGTGATCGAGGTAGAGGGAAAGATGGTCACATAAAGAGAAAGCAAAGAGAATGGTGAATAGATAAATGGATAGGTGGAAAGTTAAGAGCGTTTGAGAGAGAGAGAGAGGAGAAAGAAAGAAAGAAAGAGAGAGAGAGAGAGAGGGGGGAGGGAGAGAGAGAGAGAGACATGCAAAATGTTACATACAGGGTGTTCGGCTACCATGTTACAAACTTTGCAGATTATTGCGGCTACCAGTAGATTCTACATTCTAAATGGAGCCAAAACGTCCTAATTAACTATGTTCCGAGTCTCATCAATTTTGGAGTTATTTAACTTTTTCTGATTTTTTATGATTTCACGACCTTGCTTCAAATAAACAATGATAGACCATTGAAAAGTACGTTAAATTTCCAATAAGATGTGATCAATATTAAACTCGCAAGCGTTAGTGAAATAAGCGTTTTAGTTGCGGAAACTTTTTTTCGGGAAGTTTTTTTGTCAAAGTTGAAAGACTTACTGTGGAGATTCTAAATTACTATTTCCAAAACTAGAGACCAGCAAATTTCAGAAAACGTACTCCATTTATAATTTTTTTGGTGCAATTGCTTTTTGAATTACTTTTTTCAAAGATGAAGAAATTGATGAAGGGAAAGAAAAAACCGTGGTTGAAGTAAGGTGGAAAATTAAATTTTTTTTGCCTAACCTTTCGGCATTAGCCATATACCTTAAAAAAATTTCTTAAGGAAATTTTGAATGAAATTATTAAACTTTTTTTTTTAATTTTGGCACTATGGCCACTTTTTCTAATGATGAATATGTTGATATCTTATATACAGGTTTTGCGAGTTTAATGCAACGGCAGCGCGTCGAAAACACATTGCGGAGGGTGGTTAGCATTTAGAATCAAAATAAAAAAATTTAATAAATACATTCAAAATTTCCCTAATTTTTTTATATTTTTTATTATTATTAATCTTTCCACCTTACTAATCCTTCAAGGACGGTTTTTTTCCTTTCCATCATGAATTTCTTCATCTTTCAAAAAAGTAATTAAAAAAGCAATTACACCAATAAAAAGGATATAAAATGGAGTACGTTTTCTGAAATTTGCTAGCCTCTAAGTTTGGATATAGTCGTTTAGAATCACCATAGTAAGTTTTTTAACTTTGAAAATTTTTGTTTTTTCAAAATTCTCGCTACTAAAACGCTTTTTGCACTAACGTTTACAAGTTTATATTCATCACATCTTATTCGAAATTTAATGTAGTTTTCAGTGGTTTCAACGGGTTTGTTCAAAATCTTTCAGGTTTAGAGTTATCTTTGTTTATTTGAAGCAAGGTCGTGAAATCTTAAAAAATCAGAAAAATGAAATAACTCCGAAACTGTTTAAATTCGGACTATAGTTAAACAGGACCTTTTGGTTCCATTTTGGATGTAGAATCTACTGGCAAAGTTTGTAACACGAGTAGCCGAACACCCTGTACAATGGGTGATAGGGAGCGATTGAGGATAAAAGAGAGTACGATTGAGGGGGAAAGAAAAAAAAGAAACGTATTAATTCATAATTATTTATTTAATATCTTTAAGTGAAAACGTGAAATCACATTTAGGCCAAGCATTGTTTAAAAAGTTGTTCGTTGTCTTTGACTACACTGTTGACGACCTTAGACAATTCCTCGCTGACGACTTTCCTCGCAGTCTCGACATCAGTGGATGCGACGTCCATCCCGTGGTCGTGGCCGAATTGTACGACTTGCATTGTAGCTTGGTAGACTCTCATTTTGGCATCTTGGAAGGCGAATCCGACTTTCCTCCCGACGCAGGACCTCTGCTCAGGGGTGGTCGCAGATGCCTGGGTCGCTTTGACCAGCATGGCCAACTTGGCTTTCGCCTCGCCCAGAGCTTCACCGCTCGTTTTCCAAACAACGACTCTCGCCTCTTCTGGTGTCATAGACATGCATGGGGCCTGGAACATATTAAGGAAAAAAGTCATGTTAAGTCTTGCTGCACAACATCATCACTAATGGACCTTGGAAAAACTGAACAATTTTACTGCGATTATTTTCAATTTTTTATAGTAGCTTTATCCGTTGATTAAAAGCACTATTTTATTTCATTTTCAGACAAACACTAAATATGAACGAAATGGGTCTGACAGACTAAAAAAAGCGAGACTAGGCGGGTTGATCGGAAACAGAGGAATTACACGTTCAACGTCTAGCAAGCGGAAATCTGACGGCTTAAAATATTTTCAAATTTTAAAAACTAGTCAAATCGAACCAAGACAACTTGAAAATATTGATACAATCTCGTCAAAATAGTACAGTTTTCTGGGATTTAAAGTTTACAACCTAATTACCGACATTATCCATTATCCACTAATTAATTTAAAAAAAAAATCATTTCCTGAAATACAGGAGGTCCTGTGAAAATGTGTCCTGACCCACAGTATGTACGATTCAGTGGAATAAATGGCAATGTCGGTACTTAAATCTAGTACCAGGTTCTCCCTAAAATTAATTTTAAAAGAAAGATTGTAAAATTTAAAAAAAAAAAAACGTCAAATCGTATCAATAAAATTAATATAAATATAAATTATTAAATGTATTTATTTTATTAAGTAATATAATAACACCTGAATGAAAACTATATCAATGTAAGAAAAAAATAGCAAGTATTTAAAATTAGACATTATAAATTTATTAGTTAAATATTTGGTATTTTTAAATATTTAAAATTAGTGAGCTTTTTAGGTTAAGTTTGTGAACTTGCCCATCGGAGGTCGCCCGTCAAGAAGCAGAAAACTGCTTTACTATAATGTCAATAATAATATAATATTTATATGTGATTATTGTTTTTTTAATATGCTAAAATATTAAAGTAAATTAATGACAATCAATGGCTATGTAATTACACCATTTTACAGGATAAAGTTTGAAGAAAATATGAGGGTAATGAAAAATTGACATTGTTGGTGTACTGTTATTACGAATGTATAATACTTGTTAATTGATGCTTTGTTTTAATTATCTATTAAAAAAATCATTGTTTTATTTTCTTAAGTGTGAAAAAGGCATGAGAGAATGAATTCGGTCTTGTTTTTACCGGTGTGAGTGTAATAGTGGTAGAACTGAAAATTTTTCTAATCGACATACCAAGAAGCAGAGAGATGCTACACAGAGAAGGGTCAATTGTACGTAGGCCATGGTTGGTGTGTGACTGAGTATTTTCCTCGGGAACTGAGAGTGTAGGCCAATTGTAATCATTTTATATGCACTCTATAAAACTGTTGACTAAGATAAAGTAACAGATAGCAAATATTATGTCATTTGTTTACCGTTGTTAAGTCATTCATGGTTTTAAATGTGTAATTTTCAACCGCAAGGATTAAACTTATTACCTCAGCTTAGAAAAATTAGTAACGATTGTTACTATTGAAGTCTAAGAAATTGGATGGACCCACCCTAAAAAAAAGTCTAAGAAGTTCTTCACATTTCCAATACAACAAAACAGTGAAGTTGGTTAAAAATTAAAATTTAGTTATCTCTTAAAACCATTTCTTATTAATTTTTATAGGTTTTAAGGGCACTAGTTTTATACCCACATTTCTCCAGCAAATTTGACCATTTATTCATAATAAATTTTTTTGGGGTCGAATTGATTAATTTATATTGCTCGATAATTATCAATATTTCAGAAATCAGTATTTATTATTGGTTTAATTTTTTCGGTATATTTTCTATAATCTAAGTTGCCTTTAAACATCATAATAATTAATATGATATAGTTTGACTTGATTTGAGGTTATTTATATTTTCCGTGAAATATATCCTTGACTGTTCCTTTTTGTAAAGTAATTATTTTATTTAAATAACGATTGGCCGTTAAATCATAGCTTTCTGGTCCATATCGAAGAATGAATCAAAAATGGCTTTATTTTGCCAGGGGTTTTCACAAACTGTTCTTAAAAGGACGTCCTTACTCGCAGTAAGTTGTTTTCATCAGGTTGAAGGATATACAGACACGTCTCTCCTTCAACTCATTCTACTGATGATGAGCAATTTAATGCTTGAAATCCGGATTGTTGAAAGCAACTAACTGTGATTTAAAGTGATTAAACACCTCACTCACCTTACATTTATTATTTCTATCCCCAAACTGTGATCCGGGGACTCCTTGAGGGTCCGCCGACCCTGATAGGGAGGGATCCGGGTCGAGAAAAATTAATAAATACAAATACGAAAGTTTTTATTTTTATTTTTATGTATTCATTATAAGTTTATTTTCGCATAGGTAAGCTAGGTGAGACGGATGGAGCTAGGGTGGTTTGTAGATCGGTTTCCCAGGAATTTCATTGTTGATACGGGGTCGTTCATTACCAGGAACACCTTGGATTTTTCCAATGTTGTATATTCAAAGTTCGTCGTTTTTCGAAAATGTGATTCAAGTCAAACATTTCTCACGAGTGCACTACCTATTTGCGTCATTCTCTTGATCAGTTATTTACTCCGATATGGATCGCTGGTTCAAGTCAGGATCTCTGAGGAAGCATGCAGTTTCTCCATCCCCTTCAGAGCCAGGAAAGCGCCGAATTGGAATTGATGAAGCGGAAGGGCATTATTGACGACAGTCCAAATAAAGAACAGCCTTCAGATGAAGCACCTTAGCAAGATCCAGCATTTCAAATACAGGTCAAGCAGCCAGTGGAAGAGGAATATCTAAAAAATGTCCAGGACAGCTACTTAGATTTGGTATTTATATAGGCTGACGAGGGTAAAGCTCATGTGATTTCCGCGAAAGTCCTTCCAAACAATTCAATAGTTCAAATTTAAACTGCGTGCTCATTTTGAGGGTACACACGCAGAACTCCGGGTGAAGCAGTCTGATTTTTTCATGAGGAAGCGCACTGAACTGGCTGGTTTTCAAACCTTCATTAAAAGTCATGCAAAAACTGTTAATGAAAACTCACTGAAAGCGCCTTACTTGGTAAGTTGGCGAAATGGCAGAACCAGGTAAAGCTCATGCCATCGCTAAAACCCTCATAAAACCGTGTGTTAACGATCTTGCATTTGACAAAAAAGCAAAACTTACTTCGGTGCCATTACCAAACAATACTGCCAAAAGTCGATTGAATCTTGATTTATCAAAAGATGTGAAAGAATCGCTGGTTTCTCGTAACCAACACAATTCATTTTCTCTCAAATTGAATCAATTGACGTCGCGGCTAGTTTATTGGCTTTTGTCCTTTATGAGTACTCGGGAAGTTTCGAGCAGGATCTTCTCTTGTGCAAACCATTCCCTGCCAATGCAACTAGTGCCGAGATATTCCGTTTGATGGACGATTTTTTTTATCACTAACGAAATTCCATGACCTTATTGGTAGCCGAACGATCGGAGTGATTACTAAAATAAAAGATAAATGGAAGGATATCGGCAGCAGTTATTGTGTTTTCCACAGACATGCTTTAGCTATGAAACAAACGCCAGCCTTTAAGAAAGTTTTGGATGAGTCTGTTCAAATTGTTAATTATACCAAAAGCCATTGAAATCAACTGTGACTTCATCATTCCCTTCTTCTACATACAGAAGTAAGGTGGCAGTCTCGTGGGAAAACACTTTCACCATAGTTTTTTATAAGAGGGTTTGCAACAGCAGAGGTCATATGAACCCTCGAGGTGTCGGTGTTTTTGAAAAAATATTGCCTCTGTTGATGGACCAGAATGTCAAATTGGCTAACGTTTTCAATGATGAGATATGTCAATGTATACTGTCGTATTTATCAGATATTTTCATTAAAACGAATGAAATGAGTATTTCTTCCCAAGGGAAGAGTATCACAACTTTCGATGCTAATGACAAATGCCTCGAGTGTTTTAAAGGATTTTTTTAAAAGAAAACTAACTGGAGCTTGCCTTGATGAAATATGTGAACACCTTCGAAGTTTGGAGATGTCCTTTGATCACTACTTACCAATAGCTCGGGATAAATTGTTGCAAGACCTTGAATGGGTCGAACCTTTTTCATTTTCGACAAAACCAACAAATCTGTTTTTAAGCGAATGTCAATGTTTCATGAATCTTCAGACTACTTTCAAGTTCGATACTTAGTAGTTACTATTTTTTTTACGAGGGTTTGCAACAGCAAAGGTCATATCAACCCTCAGGGTGCCGGTGTTTTTGAATTTTTGTCTCCATATGGAAAACAAAAAATTTCAATCACTCTTTGAAAAAAGCAAGTGTTTTTCTTCCATTTGCCACAAGTTACCTATGTGAATCCGTATTTTCTACGTATACAGCCACCAAAACTATGTACTGAAGTTGTCTAGATGCTGAACCTGACATCCGTCTCCAGCTATAAAAAATTAAACCTTAAATATTCATTAAATTCACTAATTTCGTGGTCCGCTTGACCAATTAAACATTACAATTAATTAAGGTTTTTAGTTGAGATGAAAAAAAGTTAATGGCACGAGAGGGATTCGAACCTTAAATATTCAAATCATGTAGGCTAAAACGACCTCACTCCTCACATTAATTAATTCATTCATCATTAATGTTCAAATTATTTCTTTTGAAATTGGCTCGAGTTTTAAATATCTATTGATTCTGTTCTGTCCAATTTAATTTTTGTGTTCCGGATTTTGTAAATAAAGTTAAGTCGATCTATGTTTGTTTTCATAGTGATATCCCCCTCCATCACCTAATTAGGAATGAATTGGCTAATTTATACAACTTTTATTTATTCTATACTATAAGTATATAATTTTAAATACTTGAATGAGAGGAATCCGTCCTATTTTGTTCAGTGAAAAAAAAAACAAACTAAAAAGTTTGGGGAACCCTGATATACCGTAACGATGGTAGGTCATAAGTTAAATTTCCACTGTTGCACCTGAAATTTTATTCACGCTCTCTTCTTCCCCCAATAAATAAATATGATACTACTACGGCTGATTGTATCTAACCATAAAACCATAAAAACGATGCACTTACTTAAAACCATAAAAAACGATTGTCTGTGACTGGAAAGCCTTCACATATTGTGAAAGTAGGATACTGTATCACATGGAGTCAAAATCCTTATTATTTCCTATGAATCAAATTTTTCATTCCACTGTTTTCAGTTTTACTGGCGACTTTGCACCATGATGAATTTAAAAAGAATATTTCATTCTTCAATAAATGTGAGGCCTAACAATAAACTTCAAATTACAGCTTAATTATCCCTGATCATCATCTTGGTGGGTTTAAAATTTTTTTTTTTTAGGGCATAAGGGGTACAAAGTATCTGGGTTTTCTAAATGTTAATAATTATTCTGTGATTTTTCTGTTTGTTGGCAAATCAGTCTAGGCAATAATTCTAGGGTGCAAGTATGATGCCTTAAAAATGGATTTAATATATTTTTATGTACAGTTCAATAAACTTTAAGATTCGACATTAAATAAATGATCAGGTCACTTTTCTTAGTCTTAATCAAGTTATGGTTTTAATCTTCTCGTAACTGGTGAATACCAAACATTTTTGTTAAATGTATGCACAGTTATGCAGTATTTTGGTATTTTCTATCAGAATTGTTTGAAAATATATTTTTACAGCTCAGTTATTCCATCACCATTGACTTTTATAATCAAATTAATATTTATTTTGAAGATTTTCAGATTTATTTGCACCATACTTATTCCCAATCTAAAATATACCCTAGGAGCAGTTTTATGAATCAATAGCTCTCATAATCGATCAATCCAATCAGTTTATTTTTGAAATGATTCTAAGTTCAATATCAGGTAAAAGGTTTATTTTTCATAGCCTTTTTTTTACAAGGTTTGCAAAGTATTTGTCTTTCATATTTATATCTGTTAATACTAGTTCAGGGTTATTTTTGCTGGAAAATCACCAATTTTATGTATTGTGTATAGATTAAGAGTGCTTTTGGAAAAAGTAAGAGTGGGACTCTGCTTCACCTGAAGTCATTTTTATTTCCAACGAATCAAATTTTCCTTTCCACACTGTTTTTCATATTTACTTTTTCAGCATAATAGATTTTAAAAGAAATAGTTCATTATAAAATCAATGTATGGCATAACAACAATCAAAATTTTGTTTGCACAAATAAGAATTATTTGCCTTATTTATAACTTTATCGGCACTGACACTGGGTTTAAAAGTGACGAAATGCTGAAACACTACTGACTCAAAATCAGTAATGAAATGATCGAAGACTATTTCATGCAAACAGTATTCAGGCTGTTTTTATTAAATAACATTGTTCAAGAGTGTAGATAATTAATATTCTTGAACAAATATCCAACAAGAAATCAGGATGTGGTCTGATAAACTGACATGCTTTCAAGGGTGGACAGCCCATAAACAGTTAATTTTATGAATATTTAGTTGTAACTCTGTGGAAAGTAAAACATTAATCAATGCTAGAAACTAAAAAATATATTATACTGATCGACTGATTATTAAAGGCCTACGACAATATTTCACAATTGAAAAAATGCTAGTTTGGTCATCACTTAAGTATAAGCATATAATTTTTAATTAAATCTTTTGCTTTTTCTTTTCCTCTTTGGTTAGGACGGCTTTATTATAGTAAAATTTTATGGGCCATTTAGACAGACAACACTACTTATGAAGGCTAAGTTTTAGCATCATTGCCATTTTAATTTATTACACACAAAAAATTAATGCAAAATTGTTTATTGTGTTAAATAGTCTAAATTAAATTAGAAAATTTTATAATTTAGGAAATAAATTTTCTAATTATTTTATTTAATATTGATTTTTTAACATGAAATATTATAGTTCAGGGATTTTTTGTACATACAATACAATTTTTGTACAATTTTATTATCATTTTTATCACATTTTTAATTGAGTGTGATAAGTCAATTAATTACTTCAAGTCTATTAATTATTTTCTAAATAGAAATTCAGATTCCCAGTTTGATTTTTTAAAAGTTTGTTTGATCTCTGCATATTTACAAACTGTGACATTAATTTTCATTTTATTAAATAGTGATTTTGCACATTTTGTTAATGATTTGTAATTTAATAATTAAAAAATAATATAACTTATATAATGTTATTATATAATATTTAATAACTAATAATAATAGATAATAGCAAAGTAATAGTTAAGTAGCATAATTTATTTGTAAATCTGCTAAAGATCCTATTATGTCTAATAAAATGTTTATGACTTATAAAAAATTTAGGGTTTTAGGAATGTTTGGTACTAGGTACTATAACGACAATGTGATTTTTTTTTAAATTTTATTTATCTCAGTTAGTTGTTTGTTTTGATGTTTTTTCCATAAGGATTGTTTTTTAACATTTATTCATTTCAACTAATGTGGCTTGAAGGACTTCATTGGATACTTGCTTGAAGGCGGCATCGACATTCTGTTGTACTTCGACAAAGTCAACGGTGGAATCAACCATTTGGTATTCACCCAACAGTTGGTCTGTAACTTCAGTCAGCCTCTTCTGTCCAACTACTACGCCATAAGCTCCTGTTTTGGCAACACATTTCTTCTGTTCCTCGTCAGATACGACCATCTGTTTGTGAAGTGCCTGTTTCAAGGCGCTGTTGAGGAAGCCTGAAGTACGACCCCTTGATGCATATACGTAGCTTTTAACCTGACCAGGGTTAACAGGTGCGGATTCACCCTAAATTTTAGAAAACATAATTCAATCAAAATGCGAATGTTTTTAAATATGTATACATATAATGATAACAATATCTTTTAAAAAGTAAATCTGAAGTACAAACGTCATATACTTACTAAAAGGCAAAAGGATGCAACAAGAAGTACGACAAGTGTTGTAGTGGCCATGTTCTGCAAGGGTCTAGAGCGATTGGTGAATTTCCAAGTTTTCCAACTGATATTTATATGATTTTTCTCTCTAAAATGATAACGTGGTGCAAACATTTGTTTTGCAACATTACACAATGACTAAACACAACGGTCGTAAAATTATAAATGCGGAGATAAAGACTTGTCATATGGTATTACCGATAACACTGAAATATGAATAAAAATATCAACAGATTATTTAAATCTATCTAGGGATAAAAATATATTGGCGTTACATGGTGGAATAATTAATTTAATAGCCAATTCATTGAATTTTTTATTCTGTGTTATTCTCTACCTACTTCTTTGATAACCTATAAATGCTACATTTTCTCTCTTATTTATTGATTTTGCTTACTCTCGTAAAGAAAAAATTAATGCAATATTTTTATTTTGCTTGAAGAGATTACAATTTGGAAGCAAATTTATTATTTATCAAATTTTATCAAAAAATTATTATCTTCAAAAATATATGAACAACAACCGTTAATGCCTATAAAAAATAACAATTTATTAAAAAAAAAATCATTGATCAAAAAATAAAAGTTAAGTAAACAAGGATCCTATCGTTGAACAAATAAATTAATAATTGTAGATCAGTTACACAATCTTTGCCAATTCTTTGGATAGTTTAATAAATAATCTTTAGCAATAAAATTTTTCAAAATAAAATAAAAATTGAATGTTAATATTTAAAATGATTTATAAATTTTATGTAAAATGTGGTTGAGATGAAAAATTAGCGTCACGAGCCGGTCTCGAACCCCTCTGTCTATAATGTGAGTTCGAGTCCCGTTCGTGCCACTAATTTTTCACCAACCACACTACATAAAATTTATAATACAACTTAAATCCTTACTATCATGGACCAACTAAAAATAAAAAAAATGCTATTAATTTTTTAAAACCTGGCTATTTTTCAGTTAAATTTATTTACCAGAAAATACAAGTCAACTAAATAGAAATCGAACCAATTGTTGAAACTAATGAATTATTGTCAGATATTAGTCTACAGCTATCTAATAGATTTTGTCAAAATAATCAATATTTAAAAAAACTGACAATTAATTTCAGTTGCACTTTGGTAGTCTAAACAAAATTTTCAACAATTCACTGGCAAGTTGGACATCCAGTAAAACATACTTCAAACCGATTTGGGCCTTTTAAAAATGGCCAAACTTCACAGTACACGATCTTCGTTCTTACTTTGCCTATCTTGATTTCTATAACGGCACATTCTTCAGGTATGTAAATTTTTCTTTGCAGGTAAAAAATTCTTTAGTTTTTTTGACGTGTTGAGGATGCTCCGTTTTTTATCCCTGAGAAGGTAGTTTTTTTTTTCCCAAAGCGGCATAAAAGATTTCCTTAAACTAGGGTAATTTATTTACAACGGTAAAAACAACATTAGCAAACGGCGAAGGGATCGGTTTTTTTAAGGGGTGGTTGAATTGTTTAAATTTGTAACGGGGCTGTAACTTGAAAAAAAACGAAAATTTTACTATGCCTGTCTTATTAAATGGATTTATTGTGGAGAAAAACATAAACACGCGTTTTTTCCCATGCTTTATTATATTTTATTACGCAATTTAAAAAGGAGCTGCACGTTTATTTAGCCGCTGTGGGTAGTGCGTGTTAAATTCGAAATACGGTCTCGTTAGGCAAATTTGGCGGAAGTAAAAAAAAAAAAAAAAAAAAAAAAAATTATATGTATATAATTATAAACTTGGGGCTAAATGGTGCTTTTTGCTTTTAAGGTCCGAGTATGGTACATTGCCGGTTGTGTAAATCAAATGCGTCGTAAACCCGGAAGAGTGGAATATCCCTCAAAGCCGGCGTCGCCAATAAAAGAGAAAATGTAGAGACCGTTCACCCCAGAAATTTTCACCCCCTTTATTACATTTCCTTTTGCGATGTCATTCAAGATCTGCAAAAGGTAGAACATTTGTGGGGGTTCAAAGGAAAAAAAACCAGGCCCTTGATGGATTTACGATTTTCTTCCACTGGCGAGGACGTGGAGTCGCTGGCTTGACCGAAACGACAAAAGCACTTGTTAATTCAAGGGCTTAGTCGGACAATTGGAAAGTTCAAACATGTCTAAACCATAGAAAGGTTGACACATACTAGAACAACAAGACAACAAAGAGTGAGATACTGTCCCGGCTGAGAATTTCCTACAAGATTTTGGAACTGGTTTGTTCCAAAAAGCAAAAATTCATGACAAAATTAAATTACAGGAATTCTGGGCCACGCGAGGACGATCTGAACTCTGAACAATTTCATTGTTTATACAAGACGTAGAACTCTTTAGAAATCATGGAACATAGGGGGTATGGGAAAGAAGCTGACAGACTGGCCAAATTAGCATCTACTGACGAGAGTTTGAATTTGGCATACACCAAACTTCCAAAGTCCTCAATTATAAATAAACTTTTCGAAGAGAGCCTGGAAAAACGGGAAAATGCTTGGTCAAGTACAAATAATGGAAGGCAGACAAGAAAGTTCTTTCCCAAAGTTGCCGATAGATTCCAGCCGCACATCCAACTATCCGCACCACTAACCCACATCTTAACCGAACACGGCCCAAACAACAGCTATTTTTTCCGCTTTCATATAAGAGAATCTTCATCATGCTCATGCCTGCCTAATTTCCCAGTAGAACAAAGCATTAAACACCTAATATATTAGTGCCCACTAATAGAACCACTGCGTAGTGCCTACTGCAAGACAAGAAGTGGCCACCTGATGAGAAGGAGCTCATGAAGAGAGAATATTATGAAAAATTTGAATTGAACCCACGACTTTCGGCTCAATACGCCGCTGCTCCACCACTTGAGCTACCGTGACTTCGATCGCTCACCCCCCAAATCGGGGAGTCGAAGTGAGAAGTTTGTGGCATGGGCGATCGAAGTCACGGTAGCTCAAGAGGTAGAGCAGCGGCATATTGAGCCGAAAGTCGTGGGTTCGAATCCCGCCTGTGGCCCAGATTTTTCATTTCGAAAAATTTTTTGTATAATTAATTGAGTATTCAATTTTTTGATTAATAATAATTACACTTTGGCATACTTAAATAATGAAGGTGAAGTCAAAATGATGATGATGATGATGGACTAGGAAGTGGGGGTTTTGTTCCCTAAGAACTGCAGCCTGCCTTTGCTGCAATTCCATTCCTTGGGTTTTCTTTTGATCCCAAGTCTCCATGAGCGGTTGCTTCGTATACGAAGATGATATCGGTAGCGATTTCTTCCTTCTAATGAGCTTGCTTACTGCTTGATTGTGCAACGGCATAATCTACACATGGGCTCGTTATCGAATATACCCACGCTGTGTAGATGTTTCATCAGATGCCAGTGATTGGCCAATGGACCTATCACTCCTCTGAGTTTAACTGTAGCAGTGAATGTGCTAGTTTTGATGAGGGTTGCTTTACCATAAATTGTCTGTGTCTAGCGCGCCTAGAGTTCGTCGCCTTTTGTCAAGGAGGATTCTATGTTGGTTTTTTTCATCCCTGTATATGGTCTTGCAGTCCTCTTCTGACCAGTGTGTCTGCCCTCTCGTTACCCAGTATTTCTTTGTGTCCTGGTACGCAAGATACCATGAGGTTATTGTGTTTCCCCATGTTTTGGAGATTTTGGATGCATTCGATATTCTAGTTTTGATATTTTTTACTGCTAATGGCTTGGCTGTTAGATCTTATGAAATTTTTTTACCAGTATACCCTCTCTTAAAATTGTCTAAGTAACATGCATTGATCACATGTATTTCAGCTTAAAAGACCGAGATGTACTTCCCTAATGAGTTTGATCGGTCATGTTTTGTGCTTGTATATAATATTCCTGATGATGGTCGTGTTTTTGGTGCTATCTATTTACCATATCATTGAATCTGATGATCTCCTCTCTTTTGCAGCCTGTTGAGACTTTACAGTATGTAGTAAAAAGAGTTTCCGCGATCGTGTAGATAGTCTCCCATACCCCCTATTTTTTTTATTTTTATTATTACTATATTTATTCTACAAGCTTCATACAAAATATTACATGTAATACAATAACCAGAAATATAAAATATATAAAATGTGTGTATTATATACACATATTGTGTGTATTATATACTACATATAGTTTCTACTTATTAACGTTATTTATTATTATTTAACAATTTCAGTAATTGTCTTTTCGCCATAATATGAAACTGTTAAATAATAATAAATAACGTTAATAAGTAGAAACTAATTAAAAACTAAATAAACAAAACCTTTAACTTCACTAATTTCGTGGTCCGCTTGACCAATTAATACTTTACAATTAATCAAGGTTTTTAGTTGAGAAGAAAAAAAGCTAATGGCACGAGAGGGATTCGAACCCACGACCTTCGGCTCAATACGCCGCTGCTCTACCTCTTGAGCTACCGTGACTTCGATCGCCCATGCCACAAACTTCTCACTTCGACTCCCGATTTGGGGGAGTGGGCGATCGAAGTCACGGTAGCTCAAGTGGTAGAGCAGCGGCGTATTGAGCCGAATGTCGTGGGTTCGAATCCCGCCTGTGACACAGATTTTTCATTTCGAAAAAAATTGCGTATAATTAATTGAGTATTTATATATTTAAATAGAAGCTGATAAAATAATCAAAAAACTGAAAATTAAATTAAAACATTTGAGCAGTTGGAACTGGTGCAAAACACAAAGGAAACAAAACGAAGAACCTACAGAACAAATATATAAAAACTATTAAAAATTATTTAAAAAGTTATAACAACCCTAGACAATAACGTAAACATTGATACCACAACATATTAGCATTTATGTGACCTTTTGTCAACTAACAAAATAGCACTAATTCAAAATCAGCGAGAATATGCTAACCAAATAACATACACCAACCAATGATATTTTACGATTTATAAATTAATTAATTTATATTTGTTGAAAATCGAGTACGACACAGATCAACAGAGTTAAACTTCAGAAAACAGATTTTCTGTGTGAATACTTCAATCGCGAGACATTAATATTACATTTGAAAGCTCTAGGAGGTATTTAAATTTATTTA